GGGGGGGGGGGGGGGGAGAGAGCCGCAAAAAACAAAACCGCGAAGGATTGGGAACGTGTGTAGGACTTTTCAGCTTGGCTGGCAAGAAGTGTAAAATGTCTGTGTCTCCACTCACGATGACGATAATAGGGGCAGCAAAGCAAAAAATGACGCAGGTATAGATGTAACCTACTGTACGTCCTTGGGTTGAGGACAGACGCCTTTTGCTTGGTTCTCGTCGTGCGCGGAAGATGGCGCGTAGACTCGATCACGAGGGGCATCGTTCTGGGGATGGTACATGAGTGCATGCACACTGGCAGGAAGATATTCATGGTTTCACGCGTAGCACATGACTATGGCTTGAGTCAGCCTCCCTCAAAGACCTCGAACTCTTCCAAGAGGAGATGGTCCACTAGTCAAGAATCCAGGACACAGTAACCCGCCGCCCATCACAACCCTCCTGGTTTCAACCTTAAATCGATCCAAGTGGTGCACGACTTGCCCGATTGCACTCCATTGCTCTCTTGCACTTGTCATCCATAGTACCAATAGAGTGGACTGTTGTTGTGTCTGTAGCGGTGTTTAGCGCGCTCACATGTATGACACTCCTCCTGAAAAAACTACCAAGCATGTAAAACAAATGCCATTGTTGTAGGTACCGACTTCATGATTTGGGCGTGTCGAGGGGTAGTTTATATCCATATATTTATTTATTTTTCTGTCTCCCATCATTTGACTCCGTCGTCTGCCCCTCTGGCCCGTATCCTCCACTTCTACCAGCTAGACGACCCAACCGGGGTCACATAGGAGGGGGGGGCTGGACCCCCTCCTGCGGTTCCTGCCTGAGATATTTTTATCGCGAGAAGGGTACAGCAATCCCTTCCCTCGCGACTTATGAAGTCGATCATACGCACGGCCCTTGCTACTGTACGCTGTCCAACAACCCTCTTCTGGCCAATGGAGAAAGAGCAACCTACTTCGTCGTCTTCCAAACATGTGTCAGGCGTCTTCGGGTCAAAGAGAACCACCGATAGTTTGCGACGCCTCAATGCCTGCGCATGAAACTATGAAACTGCCGTTTGAGCGAGCACGCCAGCTAGTTAGCCCTTTGACGAAAAAAAAGCTATCGGAAACTTCCCGTATGCAACAGCAGTATATAGCCCGAGGAATCGACCATTATAGTGGGTGGGTAAGGAAAAGACGGCAGAAAAAAATACACCTCGATGGTTGAAGCACTTCCTTTCGAAGCTACTGGGTGCTGGTTGGACCCGCTGCTACTACTTATTTTTTGCACCGCTCCAAAGATAGCATATAGCCATATAGCGCTATCCCTAACCCTGAACCCAACCCAACCGACCCGACCCGACCCAAAGTTATAGCATTGGGAAAGTGCTAGGTCACTGTACCACAAGCAAGCCTAGGACGCGGCAAGCCGCGGCGCTACCTAGGTTGCTGTGCACCGTCAGCACTAGGTTGCTGCACGGGCGAACAGCTAGGTTGCTGTAGCGAGTTGCCGTTCCAGGTAGCTGCTGTACCGTTTAGGCTAAGCCGCGGCGCAATAGTGGTGAGCGCTAGGTTGTAGGGCTCTTGCTGCAGGGCTAGGTTGCTGTGCACCGTTAGCGCCAGGTTGCTGCACGGTTGAAAGGCTCGGGTGGCACTACTTGGAGGTGTGCACAACAGAACCAGAACAATGACGAGAATATTCCGGGAAACTTATTTCTCGACACATGGGCAGTGCAAGCACTACCGAGCGAAGGGACTCGCCACGACTGCTCTTGAATCGCACATATTTTTTTTTTTGTGAATGCTCAACACGGTGGACCGAAAACCCGGTGAGTAAGCAGGCGTACTGGTGTGTGACCGTACACTGCTCAACATCAAACGCCCGAATCTCGAGCTAAGCGATTCACCACGCACTGCTGCTGTGACCGCACACCCCATCACGCCGGCAAAACCCACTACATATGCCTGTGGGAGCAACGTGAGTGTAGGCCGCGCCACCGGCATTGCTCCAGACCAATAATACCAACAACGCAGACAAACCATGCGTTTGTTTTCGCACAGCTATTTGTACATATTGTTGTTTGTTGTTCTTTCTCAAATTAGCTCTATAAATAGTCCACAGAATGGGGAGCCCGTGGTCTCAAAACCCGGCACATACGACGCCGCGGGGAAACAAAAGAAAAATAGGGTACAAACCACTCGGAAACACATGTACATGTACATGGTTGTCTCGATGGTTGTGTGAGAAAGAAGCGCCTGAATGTATGCATGCATTCATGCATTTTACCTGCGCAGGTAGACGCGGCGAGAACGTAGATTACCACTGCTGTTTGCACGTTTGAACCTGGAGCAGTTTGCGAACAAAACACGCAAGGCTGCTTGCTGTGTTTTTTTATCTGGAACGGGTACAGCAGTCAGTGCCTTGCGATTGAATACTTTAAGATTGCGGGTCAGAGCACAGAGGTGCGATCGATTATCAAAGCGTGGTTGTACTTTCTCCGCAACCAGGAGGGTGCCAGCGCCAACTGATGCTTCTCAGGAAAGCTCTCGATGAGGTACTTCCAAAACCGCCCTATCCGACCGCGCAGTGGTACCTCCTGGTTGTTTGTGGAGAAATTAAGCTTTGAAAGTCGTTCGCACCCCTGTGCGCTGTGCTCTAACTGACTCTCAACCTTGCGGTATCTTCTTGAAAAGCTTCACCAACAGCAGCATGTTTACAAATGGATGCTTGGATTTTGGCGAGCCCTGCTGCCTGGAGACCATGCGACGTTGACCGGAGTGAGTAGAATCAACCAGAGGATTGTTGTTGTTTTCTTCACATTAACCTCGTGTCAGTTGCTAATCCAAGAATCTAGGAAACACTCGTTCCGTGGTCACAAAAATGCTATTTAGACCCCCATCATGAGAAGATCTGAAGCACACACACAAAACTATTAGCAAGAAAAGGCTACACAAGCCCGAGGAAGTACACCTGCAATCCCTGCAGCACGTTTGCATACTCACAACTGAAGTACACGCCCACACACTACTGCTGTTTTATTTTGATCGGTTTCCGAGGGCTCTTGTCTCGACCGGTCGGTGCGGTACCTGTGGTTTCCGTTCTATCATTTTGTTTTTACCGAGGTTTGTACCCTATTTTTTCATTTGTTTCCCCGCGGCGTCTAATGTGCCAGGTTTTGAGACCACGGGCTCCCCATTTTTTGTAGACTATAGAGCTAATGTGAGAAACAACAGCAACAACAACAACAACAACACCAACAACTACAAATCGACTACAGCAGCAGCATCACCCCCTTGTCCCGCACTCAACCAAAATGAGGATGGGTCGAGTCGAGTCGTCTTTCTATGGATACCCTCAAGTCGTTCCGTGAACACCCTCTCCGTTCTATTCGATTGTTCCGAGAAAGGCGTCAAAGCTATGGTTGCCGTTGTTGGGCCTGTTGTTGCAACGCATCAGCACAACACGCTCTGGTGTCTGGTTAATATCTAACAGCTGTTGTGCAGATCGGTGCAACTAACGCGGACTCCAAGCCCGATTATTGTGGTCTCGTAAGCCTTGAGGTATAAGGCAGAATGCAAGAGAAGAATTGAGAAAAGAGAAAAATAATACTTCGGGACCCAAAAAAATCGCCACACAAAAAGCCATAGTCTATCTGCCACAAGGTTAAAATAACACATGTTGTACTGACCCAAGGGATGCGTCTCCTCGACCGGTGGCAACGCTAGCAAGCAGCGGTGCTCCGTGTGCGGGGTTTTAAGCCTGACCCAGAGCGCAGCAGGCAGCACACTTTGGCAACAACTGGAGACAACAAACACCGGCAGGAATTTGCTTCAAAACTTCGTGTTGCTCGAAGTTTGGTTTTCGGACGAAAGTAAGTTTCCACTCTCTCTTCTTCCCTCTCACGCTCTCAAAAACACACTCACGATTGTCGCTGGGCTGTATGCTGCAAAGCAACCCTCCGAGGGTCCGTGCTTGCTCTCGAACAGGGCACGAGCCCTCGCCACGAGTTCATCCAATCGTTCCGAAGAGGCCATCGCACATCAAAACACCGTCCGTCCGTGTAGGCTCGACGCTGGTGTGTGGCAACGTGACAGCAAGAAGTTTCCCCAGAGATCGCTGTTGCTGCGTTGTTGTTGCCTCTCGTGTCCTCGCTGCTGCCGCCTTTTGCCTTTGCTTCGTGTCGTCGCCGACACGGGCTCGCCCTCTCTTTGCAGCCGAAATGCCAAGGAGATTGTGAAGGTAAGACCCTTTTCGTCTTCGCGCAAAGGAGCACCGTCCGCACCTTGGTTCTGTCTCTGTTGTCTCTCGGATGATATGACATGCAACACACACAACAAAGCTGGACGTACGCGAGAGCGGGGCTCCGTAGAGTTCCAAGGAAAATCGTTGTGGACCCCCCTATATTGGAGCCAATGGTATATGACAAAAAAATTGTCATATACCATTGCCTAGAGCCACGCCCGGCGGCCGGAGGGGCTTGGTGATCTCCATTCTCGCAGTACGTGCCGTGGCTGGAGTCCTGCATCATCATGCTTAGCCTGTTCGAGGCCATGACTGGCCCCGTGATAAGGTGAGTGTTTTGGTTCTGTGTGTTTTCTGCCATGGTCGAAAAATGGAGCTGGGACAGCATCAACTTGACGATCAGAGTCACAGCTAGAGGAGAAGAAAATACTCGAAGGTTCCATCCTCTCAGTGCACAGCAGTGATTTGTCCCAATACGACCGTATGTAGACACCGGGGCATGCAGGGGTGCAGGGTATGCTCTGCTGAGAGGCTGCTCCACATTGAAAAGCTTCATCAGATGACAGCAGTGTATATACTCGAATACGCGTTGAATGCATGCCTTTGTTTGTCTACCCCCCAAACCATGACTGCTGAAGATGTCCATGGGCTCCGGATACATTATGATCGCGCATTGATTGATGTTAGGTTGTGGTTGCCCTGCTAGTCCTGCCAGCAAGTCTTGGCCTTGAGCAGAGTCTACTCTGTATTTCCCTCCTCCCATGAAGGCGCAAAGAAACGAAGCGAAGAACAGTGGTGGTGCTGTTCGAAGCCACTTTTCGAAAGGCCACCAGCGATGTTGTTCTCAAATTGGCAAAATCTCTCCGCATGTTTACTGCTGTTCCAGATGTATGCGTACATGACCTATTGAGACTTCGTACAAGAAGAGCTTGTGCGCGCTCTGGAGCAAGTGTTGACGAACCCAACCGGCGCCATTCAAATCGTCAGCATGGTCTTGTAGGCGTCCTGTTGACCAGTTTAGTGGCAAGGGTTTAGGCAGAAGTCCCGGTAGCACAAAACAGCGAAAGAGATGGTAAGTGTGAGATGTTTGTTGTTCGGCAAGCAAGCACGAAAGTATTGAGTACTTTATTGTAGTTGTAGTAATAGGACGAAGAGATGGCACTGCTGTAAGAATATATAGACTCAAGACACTAAATGAGCCCAGTACTGCTGTACATCCAGCAGGCCTTTCCCCCATTCACTGACTAAGATTTCAGCCCTCACCCTTCGACTACACTGCTGTGGTCATGTCTCGGAACAGGTACAAGTCTCTTTGTATTTGTTTCCCCAAAATTATGAGAAGGAAAACTATTTTCTGTGGACTGAATTGGACAGAGGTGAAATCGCTTCGAGGGAACGAGGCCAAGATGATGCATGCACGTGAGATTCAGACCTGAGTCGAATCGGAACCACTGTCGCCACGTTACCGTTAGCAGCGGTGTGTGTGCACGCGACATTCCTCAAGCAACAACCCGGCTAACACACACATGCACAATATCCAAACACCCATCAAGTGTAGAAAAGATACCCAACGACAACCTATATGCAGGGTATTGCTCTCTTCACGCCCTCGCTCCGGCGAGGTTCAACAGGAGATAGCGAGCATGTAGGAGTGCGGCGACTTTGCGGCCGTGCATGGAATATATACTATGTTCCATGAAACCGCCCCTGGTTCCGGCTCACCCTTATCCGGCTTCCATGAAGGTGTTTCGCAGAGAATGTAGGCAACGCCACACTCACTTGAGACGGATGTGTTGGAAGTGCTTCCAGGGTAGTTGCGGAAGACTCGATGACGCACTCCTTGCATGCAATAGTTTGCCAGCTTTGTAAGTTCAGTCCGTTGAAGCCCTTCGCACTATTGATTGAGTGATGCTGGCCAAAAATAAGCGCCTTGTTCATAAATAAGCGCCTTGTACATAAATAAGCGCCTTGTAGGAAGTGGTTAAGCTGAGCAGCTGAGTGGTATAAATTTCTACCGGCATTATTTTCCCGCTGCTCATTCCGGGGAAAACCCTCCTTTGTCGTGTGCCACATGTATCGTCTGCGTAGAAAGCAATTCCTTCGTTATTTAACCCCGATCGGCGCCAGCCGTGTCTCGTTTGAGGTATGAGCGCGTACATGTAGGCGGGGAATCAATCTGATCACCTGCCCAACACCAAGCCTCCCTTCGACTCTCCCAGCCTCGATCTAGAACGTGTCGTCTAACCGAACAAACCGTACTGTACCTCCCAACATCCGTCATGGTCCAACTGACCCGGAAGCCTTCCGTGGCCACGGGCCAACCACCCGAAAGGGCGCCCTCTGCTAAATAACCGAAAAGGACCCGAAGTAGATCATTTCTTCGGCATGACCAACACTTGCTCGACAACAACAGCTGAAGGCACGTACCGCGGGCGTAGGAACGCGGCGGGGAGCCCAGGACGAGGAATCGTTCTGCGTTATTTCTGTCTCAATTCGACATGTTTTTGTCTCAAGTCGAAATGTTTGTGGAGGAACGAAGGCGAGAGGGAAACACAAGACTAGTCTAGGACGGAGAAATTCAATGCGAAGGCAACAAAAAGAAACAAATGAAAAAAACGTGTTGTACTTGAATCACACCCTCCACCCGTTCTGAGCGTTGTGTTCTCCCGCACCATGTGTTCGTTTGTTCCAGGACTTGGCACATGCGTCTGCCGGACCCGTCAAGGGGGCGACGAGAGGAGGTTCACAAGGTGAGACGGCAGAAGGTACACAAGGTAAAGCACCGGCAGTTCTGCAGACAGTAGCCAACGGGGGGGGAGGGGGATTGCGGCAAGACAAAGTGCGCTCGTTTGCGACCAGAGCAACCTTCGCCTTGCATGGGCGGGGTTAGGATTTTCACTACAGGCACGACCAAGATTGTTGTTGTTGTTGTCTTCCCATTGAAAACCGTTCCGATCTCTCGCTACCCAGTACCTTCATATGTCCGTACTGATCCAACACCTGACGCGGTCGATTCCCGTGGTCACAGGCTAACTTGCCCTAAAAAGGTACACTCAAATAAACTGGCCCCGAGGGGTCCGCAAGTCAATAGAAATCAATGACAGATATTCTGGAGTCCTCCGCTCCCTCTGCGCGCTATGCGAGGTAGCAACTGAGACTAGGAGCCAAGATACGGCAGTAGTGAATGCCGTGTGGAGTGTTCCTGGTTGGCAACTGGCCGCATTAATGGGACCAGGGAGATGTAATGGTCGGGATCTCCTTTGACACCCCGTGATCATTTTTTTTTTCTTTAGAGTTTGTCGAAACTCATCTCTTTTCCATTAGAAAAATTCATTCGGAAGGAGTTCAGGATAAAATGACGATGAATTCATGGCGTTACCCTTTACCTGTTTTTTTTTCTTTCTGAGAGAGTTGTGTGACTGTCTTCCGCCTTTCGCTACACGATGTTGCGCGTGTCACACGGCTCTTGCCGGAAAGGAGTTCGATGCGCCGAACATGCGTTGTTTCCGTCGCTTCCCCTGTTGCCATTTTTGTTCCCAGGTGCAACTTCGGCACTACCCGCTCACAGGACACAGGTGCGTGGCTCTCCTCTTTGTTTTTTTCGTGAAGTAAGCGCCCAGCTCCCTCCTCCTTCCACTGCCGTGTATCGAGCGCCAGCAGCACTACCCCGACATCACCCAATCGCTCCCGTCTTTGCTGCTGCAGCTCTACACGAGTCCGCTAAGCATCACCATCGCGACTGCCATGTGCCACCAACCAACACACACCGCTCCCGCAACGCCACCGCTCCCGCAACGCCGCCACCTTTTGTCCACCGCCAACACGCGACGATGACAAACGCCACCACCACTGTCGTCATCAGCAGCGGCGGCAGCAGCAACAACAACAACAACAACAACACGCGACGATGACAAACACGCGTCTTGCTTGTTTTTTTTTGTACATTGTGCAAGCAGGAGTGTCACGGTCGATGGCATCGCCGTCCAAGGCGCGGAGAGCTCGCCCGCCCCCGGCGGCGGCAGCTTGAAGAAGACGGTCACCCTAAGGATCCGTGTCGGGAGCCATGACTGCTGGGTGGGGTACAGGGCGTCGGCCCGACCCGGGCGGTACTTTTACAGGTGCGTGACGAAATGAGACAAACACAAAAAGTCCATGTGTTATATGAAGTGTTTCCACCTTCACGTGCCGATGCTCTTGTTCTTAGCACCAGCTGGCATCACTGGTACAATTCAGTGTGTAGGCTTAACCAAACTCAAGATGAGCCCAGTTTTCAGCGGGTTTCCCTCCAATCACTGAAAAGCCTTCAGCACATCCTTTCGACTGTGGTTATATGTCGAACGAGTAAGTAGTCTTTCTGTGAAATTATGTTTACTTGTTGAGTACATAATCGATCCAGACCGGAAACGGTCGAGGGTTGGGTTGGTTTTCTTCTGGCCGGGGAGGGGTGTCTCTTGCTGTTGCCGTTTTGATGTCGATCGTGAAAACCAATGAACGAAAACAGGGGAGAGAGCGGGTGGTTGATCGACCGTGGTGTGCGCTTTTCATCGTTGTTGCTGTTTGCTGTTGCTGCTCTGTTGTTGTTGTTGTTGTTGTTGTTGTTGTGGTGGTGTTGATGTTGATGGTGATGGTGGTGGCAATCATGATGTGGCAATCGTGGTCGTGGGCGTGGCGTTTGATGATGTGAGTTACACTGCTGCACACTGCTCCGGCCCCCCTATGCCCCCCCTATGCGGTGCGTTTGTGTCTGGTCTCGGCGGTGTACTCCTTCGCGTTGAGACATAGCCCATGCCTACGTCGACAAATGTTTCGAATGTCTTACGTCTTTGCTCCGGTCGCCACGAAATGCCGGTGCCCCTTCGATGTTTCTGCACTGGTGACGCCATCACCACAGCCTAAAAAAAACACCGCCACCGCCAACTCCAACAACAATCACCCCTCGCCACCCCAAACAACGACGACCGCGTTTGATAAAACCGACGAACGACCACGTCACACCAGCTGTATCATCGATGGCGTCGTCATGCCGGAGCTCAACGACACTGTCGGCGACACGGGGGACGACGAGGGTGTTCCTCTGCCGGGGGAGGTCTTCATCGACAGCATCGAGCCTGCCAAAGATAGGTACAAGCACTGCTGTACCTCTTTTTGCGACAACGACGACGAATGCCTCCGAACATGGCCGAGCGCTCGAAAGCAGTCGGGTCCACTAACGTTTTCGGTACTACGTACGTGTACATGTTTCGGTTCACAGCGTCTCTCTGTACTGCGCGCTTTTGGTTCACTAACGTTTTTGCTGCTGCGCCCCCTCACGCGCGAGTTGCTGGGAGCCGTGTGTGTGTGCGTGCGTGCCGTTCACCCCTCCGCGTGCCGGTACAAGCATGTTGGGGAGCGTCGTGGAATATCAAACGATTCTGAAACGTGTGAGATTTTTGCCCCCCTCCGCCTGTCCGTGTCAAGTGCACCGTAGGTTGCATAGCACATCATCTGGAGCGCCTGACGCGGCTCGTCACGCTTGCTCTCCCCCCCTCTTCCCCTACTCTCCGTGGTTTGGGGTAGACCTTCCCTTCCCACTTGTCACGCCTTTTCCTGGACAAAAAAAGAAATTCGTGTGTTCAGTTTCCAATGCGCAGGATACCCAGCAGATTGGAGTCCGCCTATTTAGTCTACACAAGTGTGGCGCGGTTTCATGTTTTTGCTCTCTCTGAACCACCGCTGTACCACGCTACTTACGCAGAGGACGGACCGGCCGTAACTTCTTTGCCACCGATGGCGGCGCTCAACATACAATCAAATACGCGTACCCCCCCGCCCCCCCTGGGGCCGCATCATCCACGATTCCGCTGGGCCTCGCTCTGCCTCGACCGAACCAGGTTCGGCACAGAGTTTCTGGAGTTTCGAGTGGTGACTCTTCGCGGTACGAGACGAAGATATAGCAGCGGCGGCGGCGGCGGCGGCGGCGGCGGCGGGGCGGGTAAGGCGGTTGACGGGGGCGGCGGGTGTTACCACGCGGTCGTGTGGAGGCGTTTCTCGGCGTTCCGATCGCTGCACAGCGACGTGACGGCCATGCTGTGGGGGTCCCACCTGCTGGACAGCCTGCCCCCTCTGCCAGGCAAGCGTTGCCCCTCCGCGAACAAAATTGTTTGTGCTGGTGGAGAAAGTACGATAGGTTTTATGATTATCCTCTACTTTGGTGCCTACGTAGCAAGTGTCTCTCCTATCTTGTCACTTGCTCTATGTTCTACATGTACGGTTGTCGAAAAATGCAAGGGGTTCTGGAGGGGAGATTGTACATGAACGTCCGGAGTTGGACAGCAACGTCTTCGCCCTTTTCGTAAGCGAGAATTGAACTCAATTTTTCTCTGCGTCAAGAACAAGAGCCTCTTATTTTGCATCTGCTGTCCGGGCCTTGCATCCTTCACGTGTGTACATGCCTCTTTTTACGTGGTCGGACGACGTCCCAAACAGTCTCCCTCTCCATCCAACCTTCCGCCCCCGCTCCCCCTCCCCTCTCTCACGACCGTCTGCTTGCCAAGAGTATCTCGATGACCATGCTTCTCCCCCTCCGATATCACCTCTACTGGTCCTGATTTCCTAGAAAAAGTTCACTCTCGCGTGCGCATGACAGAAAGTATGGTGACAGCTCGTTCTTCTCGTGTGTGACTTGTCTCCTCTTCGGCCCGCGTGTCTTGACGTCCTAATCTCGCCGCGTTCCTCCAATGCCGTCGCCAACAGCGAAGTGCATCAACCCGTTGGTCAACCAGATGGGCGCGGCGTTCTTGGAAAGCAGAAGGGAAGTGCTCCAAGCGTACCTCAGGTGATGGCGACAGGCTGGCTGCTCTCTTTTCCCTCCTGTCCTGTCTCTTGTCCCTCTTGACCTCAACATGGCAGGCTGGCTGCTCCCTTTCCTCCGCTCTCGTCTCTGTGTTCCTTGACCTCAGGTGATAGGAGGCATTTCCTCTCTTGTCCCCCTCTTGTTGCGTCTTTTCTCTCTTGACCTCGACACTTGACCTTGTGCGCGTGTGTGCCACGACACCGCTCTCGGAACGAGACCCCCCCCCGCGTGAACCATTCCGATTTGTTTTCGGCTGTGTTACCGCAGTGCTGCCTCCCCCTCTCATGCATCAAGCACACACGAATACGCACTCTCACCCATTAACCAGCCCCACTTTTTCAATAACACATGCACTTACACAATCAACCCCCGCCTGCCTGTGTTTGCGTATTCGCCGCCGCCGTGTCTCCAAAAGGCGTTTGCTCGAGGTTCCCAAGGCGCGAGCGTCGGTCAACCTGATGGGATTTTTAGGCCTCCACCCCATCACCGGATACCCCTTGCCTTGGGCGGCGTTGTCTCCTTCTGCGCCTCGGCAGGCGACACCGCTCGACGACGAGGGGCGCCGGGAGTTGTGACTTTGTTTTGTTTTTTCTTTTTTGGGGGGGAGGAGTCCGAGGAGGATGGGGAGCGGGCATCTTGATGGGAAGCTTGCTCCCGCCTGGATGGCGTGTGGGCTGTATTTGGCCACTAGTGTCATTTCCTTGCGAGACGAATGGGTAGGGATGGCGGCTGGGGTTCGTTCGTAAGCGAAGCCCGCGTTGCAAAGCCCGCGCCGGCGAGCCAGGAGTGTACCGAGGGTGTCTCTGCCCACGATATCTATCGCAAGGCCGTTGACTACGCTTCCGACATTGTCACGAAAGCGCCGTCCTTCGTCGTGTGCGTTTTTAACAGACACGGCATTGATTGACTCCTTCACTTGGTCGCGTTTTTCGTGAAAAGAGAAAGGGGCCACGTGAATGGGGACAGGGCCCCGGGGTGGGGGCGGGGCTAGCTTGCTTGTTAATCCGCTGTGACTTTTTTTTCGCCATTTCTGTCTTTGTTGTTGTTTCGTTTCCTGTTGCTGGCTATTCTCTGGTCCCGCCTGAGGTGTATTATTACGAACTCGCGTGTGTGCTCACGTTTTCTTGGTGCTTATGCTGTTTGCTGGGCCGGTTCTGTACATAAACTTGATTGACTTCATAAGTCCCGAGGGAAGGGAGTGCTGTGCCCTTCTCGCGATAAAAATATCTCAGGCAGGGACCGCAGAAGGGGTCCAACCCCCCCCCTTCTTTGTGACCCCGGTTGGGTCGTCTAGCTGGTAGAAGTGGAGGATAGGGGCCAGAGCGGCAAACGACAGAGTCAAATGATGGGAGAAAAACAATTAAAAAACAAACAAAATATTCTGAGTATGCTGTCTGTTTCCGCCAATCACCATACCCTTTCCCGCGCGGTGAGTACCTTGAAGCGCGGGGATACGGAGGTCCCAGCTCTTGAGAACACGAACGGTTTTCTTGGAGAAATTAAGTGTTCTTGGAACGGGGAAGTGTCTCTAGAACGATGCCTCCGATCGTATTCACATTCTGCGGGGCACCGCGCTTCTGGAAAACGCATTGGTGTCCTCAAAAGCGGGGAGTGTCCTTTGGTGTTGGTGTCCTTTAACGGGGGGACGACCACCGTACACGGCGTAAATGCATGCGACCGAGCGGTGCGTGATGGAGGAAACGAGCGCGGTTTTCTCTTTCTGTCTTGTCCTAGTTATGCTCATATCTGCATGTAGGTTATTCTCAGTGTATTGCTGTTTCGTCCACCTCGTTGGGGGATAGCGTTCGTTGCGGCCGGAGATGCGTGCGAAAGCCAATGTGGCATAGGTGGAGCGTCGACAGCGGCGCTCCCCAGCGCCGCACCTTTTGTAGCGGCGCCCACAGCCTAAACCCCACCGCTGGTCGGTCCGGTGCGGCGAGAATACCCCGCTGTTGGTGTTCTGGTTCTACCTGACGTGGCATATTGTTTCGGCCGCTGCTAGGCTCGTCGAACAAGTGTTTCATGCGCTTTCGCTTAGTTTTGGTGCTCGTGGAGGGGGTAGCAAGAGACGCACAGATGCATAGAGAGGCAAGATAGCGGTGTGTTACTCGTCGCTGGACCTGACAAAAGGAGTGTCGTTGTTTACGAAAAATACCCATGCTTGTGGCAGATGACGCAGTTCTGGTTGGTGGATGTAGAGAACGTGGTTGAGCACGGGCGGCTCATTGTTGGGTGTTGCCTGTGATCTGTGCAGTTAACGTGCGACCCCCCGCCCCCCTGTACTGGTTGACCCCAACACGACCGTGCTACGATGTTGATTATCTTGAGAGCTAAAAGAAGGCGCAACCACAAAATGTACAGCCGGTATATTGGCAGAGAGGGGGAGTTGTGCGCCTTTTCAGCAATGACTGTCGAAGACTATACCATTGATGTAGAGGTGGTGTGTTTCCGGACCTTTCTTACGCACCACGTGGGAAAGATAAGGGTTCCATCAGTTTGTCGTTCACGAAGGCGCCTGGGGAGGACCCTCCGTGAGGGTGGAGATCTGATTTAGAGGCCGAACCCCAAAGCGATTTTGTTCTGGCTCTTGGGTCATCTCGGGAAACAAGAAACACACGACATTTGGCGCCCGCCTAACAAACTCAGCAGGATTCGGAATCACGGGGGGGAAAGAAATTTGACGCAATGACAAATTGAACAACACGCTGAGTTTTCGGCCCACCATTTGAGTTTGAGGCTTGACCAACGGTGTACGAAATAATTTACCCCGCACAACGAGGTACCCCCCCCGTCCATGTTTCTTTTTTCATCGTATGCGTTCACTCGTGCACGTCAGACGTGTTTTGACCCTCCATATGCATACATGAACAGATGAAACGCTGTGTGGCACTGAAATACGCCTTAAATACCTGCGCCAAGAACAGCGTGTTGTTGGAGAAACCACACGACAATCATCCATGTCATCTTCATGACGTCCTCGAATCAATTTTTAATGAAGTTATAAAGCCCGGAGTAGCAGCAAGCTCTTTACGCGCGTGAACGAAGAATCCCCGTGCTCGACGGAACCGCGGAACATATGTCATCCAGTAGGAGCTCGCAATTAGCTGAGGGTGGTACGGTCCCCTACCGTTCCGCATACCACTTTCCAACATTCTCTCACGCACAACTACGCCAACCAAAATGCCGTTTGGGGGTGCGTTTCCGCCCACCCCTCGAGCCCACGCTTCCTCTCCTTCTCCACTTCCTCTTCCTCTTCGTCCTTCCTCCTCCTAGACAGATTCCTACCCCTCTCCCTCTCTTCGCTGGACTCTGAGTCCACTTCTTCTACTGCGCAAGCCTGGGCTAGGCCTACGACCCCTCCTGAGAGGGTGCACTGATCATGCTCTCCCTCTCGTCGTCTACGTGTGGTATGTCGTAAAGCGTACAGGCGCGGCGAGAGCGCACGAGCGGCACGACTATAATAGCGGGCACGCAGATGAACAATAGCCCCCACGACACATCAGTGCCCCTTTACATAAAGAAATTAGAATGTCTGGTTCTATTTATTAATTCAAATGGTGCTTGGGGGTGGTGGTCACTTAGTACCCTTCCCCCTCCCCGAATCGTCCGTTTTTCGCACACCTTTCACTTGGCCCGGAATTCGCTTGATATCGGACGCTACCTGTACAGCTTCATATACTCGTCGGATATGCTGAAAACCGACCATCATCGCGAGCCGCCTCTGCCGCACATTACAATATGGACGGGGTCAGCGCCCTAAATTAGAAGCATAGCCAAACATGCCGAGAACACACCTTACCACACCAGCAAGGCACACCGCCATCGTCAAGCGTTGTCGCAGGTGATTTAGCTCCCCAATTTAATCCCACAAGTATGAACCTGCTATCCAAACTTTACCAAATTTAGTACTACAAACAATACACAAATATTGTACGTATACCCCCTGCCAAGGAAGCAAAACGTGCGTGTACGTTTCACACCGCCGCCGTGACCTCACGCAAACGTTTTTCGATCGGCTTGTTTTATCTACACAACGTTGCCTACCTTTCTACGTGGAAGCTCCCACGGTTGGCACCTCTCAGACGGACACCTATATCTTCACACAGAGATATACCGCTGCATGGCCGACCGCAACAGGCCATGGTTACCCGTCGTGACGATTTTTTGGTCGTTGATATTTATCTCCGTTGTTACCACGCATGCATCCACGAGCGAGTGCCCCCCCCGCCACGCACGGTCGCGCTCGGCCGCTGGTCCTCTCGAGCACCAGCATCACAGCCTCCCTTTTTGACCTCTGCGTTCACTTCGCGATTCTACACCGCGGCCTTCCTGCGTTTGTTTCCGGACGCAACAAAGGATAATACACGAAACAAGAAGGAGAGGAAAAAGGACGGGAAAGGCGAACATGGAAGGATATGTCAAGGAGGCACAAGGGGTGGCGGCTTTCGCTCGTTCGTCCGTCGTTTAAGGCGTGGTCGGCCATCAAAAGACAACTTTTATGTGACGCAACAGCCACGAGTACGCCTACCTCCCATCGGGGTTGGGTTTTCGTCGCTTGGCAACGACGTTGGAAAACAAGCCAATTCACTTCGTGACCTCGGCAACCAGGTTACCGTCCTTTTTTTTTTACCTCCGTTTTGTTTTTTGGCGGTAACCATGAATGGTGGTCGAGTAGACTTGTTGTGCGGGGTCGAGAACCCTCACTCCGCGCAAGGGGGATGATCGCACCACGTTGTGTTAACATGGTCAAGCACCCTCGAGGCAGTTGCACAGTGCTTACAACTGTCTCTGGAAGTGAAAGCACCAGAAAATAAATTAAGTCATACGCAGCTGTCATCCGTACACAAGGAAGTAAGCACAAGATGCCAAAAACCCTTAACAGGATGCAGCGCACCCTTCATGCGACTCGCCGAATATCTCACGGCGCTTCGCGCTTGGTGATGTGAGAGCCTGGTCCGGTGAGAACCCGGCGTGCTCCGTCCCGGCTTTGTAGGGATGCGAG